AAAAGGGCAAACAAAAATTTTCAACAAACAAAAATGTCACCATGAAGATGCTAAATATAAACGTCAATTAAAATGTAAATATATTCAAAACCTATCTATTTACCTGCCTACATTTTTTGTTTTTTTTCCCGAAAATACTGAATAATGTTAATGTTGTTTTTTTGTTTCATTAGTAGTAGGTGTTGTTGATGCTTATTAATAGCTCATATTTCACATTTTTTAAATTGAAAAAATAAAAATAAAAATCTTATGACATTTTGAAGGTGAAAAATTTGAATGGTTTGGCTATAAGCAAAGAAGAAGAAAAAATTCTTCCTTGAATGGTTTCTTCAGCGAAAAAAAATAAAAAATAAAAATTCATTTTGTTTTTGCTAGCTTCTTTTGTTTTGGATTTTTTTCATTCATTCAATCATTCATTATGAATATCTTTTGAGTGAGTTTGATGCATGGCAAGCAATTGCAAGAAACAAAAAATGAAATCCTATTCACACACCAAAAAAAAATATACAGCTACTTTCCTGTTCCGTAAATCGTAGGTGTTTTGGAGAAAAATAATAATGAAAACAAAACAAAACAAATTTCTCAAATTTTAAAACCCAAGGAAAAAAGAGAACAGGATTGAAACCCTAATAGTTAAAAGAATCAGAAATTCATTCATTCATTTTGGTATTTCCGTTATTGGTTTTTTTCACTGTAATTTTTCTTTTCTTGATAAAAAGTATCAAAAATTATCGATATTTTTTTGTTTGTTTGAAACACACGTACACACCTGGATAACATAACAGTGGTGGTGGTGGTGGTAAAATTATCTATCCATTATCAACATCATAATTATCGGATATAATTACCGGGGGGAGGAAAACAAAATATTTTGTGTGAAAAAAAAACAAATTTTTTCATTTATTCAAAATGCTACAGGTGTGTGTGTGATAATTGCTACTGCTGTGTAATGTGTGTTTTGACTTTTATTACATTTTGGATCAAAAAAAAAAACATAAAGGTAAGTTTTCTGTTTTGATGATCAAACAGAAACTAAAAAAAAATGAATAAATCTATCAATAAAACATGTTTTTGGATTGGAAAATCTTTTCTTTTTCATTATTATAATAAGGGAAGCTATAAGTGAAAGAGTAATAAATCTTTGACAGCATCAAACAAAAAAAAAACAATGATACCTTAACCTTATGATTATAAAGATATGAAGATATGAAGACAAACACACATGATTGTCAACCTTGAGTTTCCTAATTCCAACAGTGTTTGTTTTTGTTGTTGTTTGTTGCTTTTTTCGTAATAATTCTTTAGCAAAAAAGAAAATTTATTATCCAAAGATTGAAATAGAAGCTTGTTTTTCTTTTCTTTTTTTTGTATATTATTTATTTTGAAATAAAATACGTTGTACGTGCATACATTGTGTAAACGGGGGGAAAAATATAACTGTTTTCTTTGGTTTAGTGGGGGAAAAAAGAGAGAAAAGGGAATGCAACAGGCAAAAATCACATTTATAAAATTATTATTGTCTTTACTACTTTTAGCTATAGTTTATTGTAGTAGTTTTTATTCCCAAAAAAAAATTGAATGACAAGTCAAATGATTACTTATATTGCCTATATCGTTGTTATGTTCGTATACATATACACTTGTCCAAAGCATCTAAGCATCATCATCATCATATGATTACCATGTGATGTAATGAATATAGAAAATAGAAAA